ATGTGATGTTAAATTGGAATAAAACACTCATATTTGGTCAAAATGTCTTGACGCGGAGCAGCATTTCGGGTATATTGTCCAGAATGTTTTCATCCTCCTTTAAACAGAGAAAGGCATTAAATAACATAATCTGGGCGACCATTTGACGAGAGCATTTCTCGAAACTAATGAGTCGCCAAACTTGTCACGCAATGTGTCTATGTTTATATTTGAACCATAAGGCGGCTCACCGTCCTGTTGGAAAAAGAGATCGCCCTCGTCGATTTCATCAAATTCTGGGAAAAAAATCGGTTAACATGGTGTTAACGGGTGATCCAAGTAAAGGTACTCTTTTCAATAGCACTTTTTTGGGCTGATGACACGTGATTCGTGTCAAGCTGTCATGTTATTTTTCTTCAATGTGGTTCGGCATTTCATCATGAGCTTAAGCCTGAACAACCTTTACAGTCGTTTGATTTTATTATGAAAATTTACTTTATCGGCGTACTATTCGGAACACCATCCTGAGATCCAGCATTCATTATTATATAGTATTCGACCGAATAGACCACTCCGGGCCGTAGCTAAGAGAATCGATTCGAACAAAATACCGCTTGTGCAAGAACTAAAGCCGCTCGACCTTCCCAAGCGACATTGCTTCGCTCTGTGGGCTCTTGAAAAGTTCCAAGAAAAAGCGACGTCTTTGAGGCAAATTTTGTCCAGCGATAAGTCCCTTTTCTAAATCAACGGGTATGTAAACAAATTGCCGCATAAGAGACGAAGAGCAATTTGAAAAGATTCAAGAGCTGTCATTACATTCAAAAAAACAACGGTTTGGAGTGATTTGTGGGCGAGTGGAATCACCGGTCCATATTTCTTCAAACACGATGCTGGTAGGAACGTTACCGTCAATAGTGACCGTTATCGCTCCATGATAACCAACTATTTGATGCCTGAAATTGAAGTTCGCTATCTCGGCACCACTTTAGACACATTGCATCAATCAATGGATTTATTAAGAGAGATTACGTTTTATCGAAAATTGAACTCAACGGATGGACTATCTGAGATGTAGCCAACTTTTGAGAAACATAATCACCAAGAAATAAATGCCAAAGAATGTTCTTTCGACTGATAATAAACATTCCCCATTAGATTTGAAGTTTCTGTGTTTTTGGTTTTAAATAAGAAACCTGGAAATGGATCACCCTTTACATACCAAAACACAGGGAGACCCTTAGAAAAGTATTAATGTCTACAAATCAGTTTGACTACCGAAAAAAAACCAACTCGTTCTCTAGTCCCCAAAAATTCCCGGTTTTATAATAGATTATTATATTAGTTTGTCAAAAAGGTCTTGCGGTATTTTTATTGAATTTTCAATTGTTCATAAAATTTTTTTTGATGACTCATGCCCAGCTCTTGACCGATACGCTACGGCTGCTATTATGCCGGTCTCTTTCGACGAATTCAGCGATTTTATCGCAATTTTCGACGACAGGCCTTCCGGAGCGTGGCGCATCTTCGACCACCTCTACACCAGAACGAAAACGTTGAAACCATCGTTGTGCGGTGGAAATGGAAACTGTATCGGGTCCATAAGCTGCACAATTTTTATTAGCGGCTTGAGATGCATTTTTGCCTTTATCGTAGTAGTACTGTAAAATATGCCGTATTTTCTCTTTATTTTGCTCCATATTTGCGACGCTATAACTCACGAACGACTTAAAAGAAACGACAATCAATCAAACACTTGTTAGCGCGTGAAATGAGCTTTCCAAAAAGGTATAGCATGACCCGATGCGACGAATAAAACTAGAACTACGCGCTCTCATCGCCAACTAGCCAAAATACCGCAAAACATTTTTGACAACCTAATATCTCCTTACAATACCTGAGTTGACCTCATTTTTTACCGTTGATATTATATAAGACATTATAAATAAAGTGTATAACCTTCACTTACAACTGAGGTCTGGCTTATTCTCACAAATGCGAATGAAAAGATAAAGAGCTGAATTAATAAAACTAATGGACTAAAAACATAAACAGATCAACCACCAAAACGGCAATAGCATGAATGACACGGGGTTCCAGAACGAAATATAAATTAAGCATATAAAACATAAACGAAAATGTATTTTATATGTAGAACAAACATGTAAAGTTCCCCATAGAACCTTAAAAAATAAAAAACAGCTTTTTCTTTCCAAAATATCAGCCGTTTTATGCCTTTTTTAAAAATATTTCAAAATCCCACTGGGTCGACGAAATATTACCTGTTGGCACAGCCCATCCCTTTGCTGTTTGTGTTGCTGAGGCAACGTTGGCCAGCAGCGGCCAAGGGTGGATGATACGTCACGTGATTTGTTATGTACCCTCGCTTCGTGGCAGGTGAAATAAGTCTAATGGTAGACTAGGTAACACACACTTTAGCGCAAATACATTTGCATACTGGCGAACGTGCTTTCTTGCGTCGGAGAGCAACGCATCTGCCACCCATTACCACGGCCCAGGCACTTTTAAAACTGTTTATATGCGAAGCTTTGTAGTTCCGTCTGCAGGACGCGTCAAGTTGACGCCGCAGCGTGTAGTGGATCAATACGGTATGCACTTGAGCTTACATGTATGCCGCGTGTTATGCGGAAGTCGAGCAAAATATTCCACGTGTTTACGTGACATGCCGACATTAAGGTCGACGCCATCACGCAAACTATGCGCTGACGTACAAGGATTTGTGTCCTGGCATTAACTCTGCATTTTACGGCCTAATGGTTGGGTACATATTTCTATATATATATTGGATACGTAATATAACTAACGGTTTTATGGTTTTAAAGGTGTGGCATTTTTTAGGTAACGGTATTAGTGCACTAATTGAAGCACATTTAGGAGCTTAATGAGGTCAGATGTTAGACGTACTTGAAATTAAGAGTATATATATATATATATATATATGTATATATATACATATACATATGTAGTTAGTCAAGTCATATCAGATGTAACTTTCCGTCAAATTAGTTTTATAAGAACAATTATTCTCAACAGCGAAGATAAATAGTATATACAAGCGACGATAACGCAAAGTGCTGCGAATTCCGAAGGAGATTCTGCGTCTGGTCGTGAACGCCAACGGAGCATAGGCAAACTGATAAACAGCAGAGACTAAGGAACAGTCAAAGCAGAATTTTAATCGGCGAATCTACTCCGAAGAAGGCTACTGGCTGTCTGATACTGACAGTCCAATCTTTCGGAATAGTGACAATGGGCTTCTCGGATTCACCAGACGTCGTTGAGAAGGGCAATTCTAAAGTCATTCATCATTCCCGTTGCTGTTGTTATTATTATTGTTGTTGTAGACGCAAAACTCTGCCGAGGTGACAGTAATTAACCGGATAAAAAATCCGTGTCCGTTATGTAGACCCGAACGTCTACGTGGGAACGGTCATCACTCACGCTGTTGTTCTTGTTGTAACGGGTGCGTAGCCCCGTTAGGATACTCCTTACCATAGATAAGTTGTATTCGACGTCATCCAACAGTAGGCCCAAGAAACGTGTGATTTCGACGGTGTCGGATAAAAGGGAGAGGAATGTGAGATGAGTAGGATTAGTGAGGCGTGCAGAGAGATGGCCAGTGTCATGCAGAGACTCATTGCACGCAGTACATATTATATATTAAATATCTCAAGGTCTCTTCTGGATAAGTAGAAGTTTAGCCGGCTATAACATCCAGAACGAAGCTGCTCAAGGGTCACTCTCATTTCTCGCGACAACTCGAGCTCTTCATCTGCATTCTCTGAGAGGGAGTCGCTGAAGGTGTTGATGGATACACTGTGAATAGCGGTCAGTTAGTTGCGTCCGAAATCTGGTCGGCGTATTGTTTGATGCCGTCGACTTAGTTGAGGAATGACGATTTCTGTGAAAACACCCCAGCAGAAACTGCTTGGAGAAGAGTTCATTATACTCCTTAAACCGGGAGCAAACTGACCTCACTATGCAGGTGTTCAATAGAAAACATCAAGAGGCATCCTGTCGTAGTTCTGACAAGTCTGAAGCTTACTCGTCTGCGTTCCACTGCATACAGGCGACCATATTGGTGCGGCGTAGTTAAGGATCTAACCCCGTTTAGATCGGTGAATTATTAGTTCAATTCCCACAACAGCAGGTTTTACGCACCAGAACTGACCTGAATTTTATACGACCAAGGGCCGTTATTTCAAAGATCTAATCCCGTTTAGATCGCTAAGTCTTATCATTCCCGTCCTACTATATGGTGCAGAAGCATGGACAATGACACTATCTGATCAGTCGGCGTTAGAAATATTTGGGAGATGTCTACGCCAGTAAAGAAGAGAAGATTCACTCTAGGTTTTTCTCCACAAGACTTCTTTTGGTTCCAAACTTGATATGTTTTGCTACATAGATTAATTTGGAGATCTCCAGAAAAGTTTTTTTAGGCAGGTTAAAGAAATTTTAGCATTATTCCACCTTCCTGAAAAATGTTCGACTTTTCTGTAGGTTAAACTCTGATAAATGCTAGAGATTGTTTTTTTAATAAGCGATTCCACGCTTTTGATATGGAAAAATAAACAAATCTGCAATTTTTCTAACACATCCGAGCAAATTTACACTGAACACCACGCACAACCAAAAAGTCAATCAAAAATAAATAAATAATACGCTCTAAAAAGAGACACGAAGACAACCGCGAGTTATAAGGTGAAAATTGCGGCAATTTACTCAATAACGAAGAAGAATACATGAAAAATGGCAAACATAATAACCGGCTTATTCTATAATGACAGTCATAAGTCGTCAACGCATTTCACTAATACGCCGGCTACAATTTGGCTAACAAATCAGCAGCTTAACAAAAGCCAAATGCTAGACAAACGCCACTAACGAAAAACCGTTTGTAAGCAAAGGTGAATGTTGTTGGCCAAATTTTGATAGTCAAATGTTTATGGCACGTACGTATGTAGGTATATATGTATGTGTTTCTAAGTAATTTTACTCACCTGAATTCTTGTGTTGCCTGGAAGCTTTCATCGTCTGTGATTGAGAAGACACAGAGAAAACCCTCACCGCTGCGAAAATAATTATCACGTATGGCGGCGTAATCCTCCTGCCCGGCAGTATCCAATATATCTATTTGTACTTCTTCGCCATCTAAAACGACCTGCAAACACACACACACACACACACAAACAAAAAGTTAAATTGGTTTGCTTATTTTGCTAAATGAAAAAATTTGACTGCACCCACCTTTTTCCTATAACTATCTGCTTTGGTTGGTTCGTAGTCCTCCACGAATTCGTCGTACATGAATTGTAGTGTCAGTGCCGATTTGCCGACACCGCCGCTGCCCACCATTATCACTTTGTGGAGCGCGGGTCCAACTGTCGGTTTTTTACTCATTTTGTCTGACTGTTGTTGTAATTGTTGTCGCTGTTGCTGCTGTGTTAAGTGCTTGATTTTACGCCGTACTTCCGGTCTATGTTTCCGCTGTTTTTTTTTTTTTTTTTTTTTTTTTTTTTTTTTTTTTTTTTTTTTTTTTTTTTTTTTTTTTTTTTTTTTTTTTTTTTTTTTTTTTTGGCGAAAGCAACTGTATTCTTAGTTGAATGTAGTTTGTAACAGTAGTTTTTGTTTATTTATATCCTGATTTGACTGTAAGCAAAGAAAAGTAATGTTATTAGACGGGAAGACATCAAATTTTTTTTTATCGTATATAAGTATGTACAAGCATGCAACAGCGGTATTTCTTACTCTCGCATTTTGCGTGAAAATCCTATTAAATGACAACAATAATGTTCATTACAAAAACATGCGCTTTCTCTGTTGTCTTGCATTCGAGGTGTATGCTTTCTCATAATCGCTGGAATAAAAATGAACGTCAGTGAGCTATCTATGCTGACCTGCTGGGTAGGAAGCTGTAAAAACCACATGACAGCTTGTGACGTCCATGTCCTCATTGCGTTTTTATGAAATATTTAATGAACGAGTATTCACGTTGTTGAAGATTAGTGCTTATATGTAAGTGAACTATAGTGAGATAGCCTCAATATTCATTTTTAAACAGAGGTTAAGTTCGAAAACATAAGCTCTAATATTGACCAATTGATAATATGCAATGAAACACAGACGAGCAAGCTCCAAACTTGTTAGAACACTGCCCACAAGACCAGAGGATATCTTTTGATGTCGCCCATCCAACACCTGCCTAGTGAAGCGCGTATGCTCCCAGCTAAGGAGCATAATGAACTCCTCTCCAAGCAAGTCCTGCTGGGATGCTTTCACAAAAGTCTTCCCTGCAGTCACCTACTACTTCGACGACTGCAAAAAATACGCCGACCAGACTTCGGACGCAACTAACTTCCGTCAAGCACTGATCGCCCTTCTCAGTGGAGCCATTAACACCCTCTTCCGTCTCAGTGAATGGCGTATTTGGAGTCATACCACCATTTTTGGTGTGTATCTTCGTTCTGGATACTGTAGTAGGTTAAAATCTTACGTTTCAAATATATGTCTAGGGTGCAATGAGTTCCCGCATGACACTGTCCACCTCTTTGCATACTCTCCTAACCCTTCTCATCTGATATTGCAAGATCGTCATGTAACTTATCGTGATATTGAGATACCTATAAATTCACGTTGGATCGCGTGAATTTTTCAATTGCTCAAAAATGGTTCGTGACGATTGATCGAGATAAATGTTAAAAAATACGGTGCTTCGCAACAGGTGGATGACCTCTTGACAGGTGGTGAATCGTGGATTTACGCATATGAGGCAGAAAATAAACAGCAGTCGAGACAGTATGTGTGTTTCAAGATAAGCCTTATCCAATAAAAATTGTTTTTTTGGAAAAACCGAGCAATTTTCGGTGAATAATGTTCATTAATTCCGAAATGTATTTGTTGAAAGTGCAAGAGAAGTGTTTTGGAGAGTTTAATTTCCGCCTTAGTGACCTACTGAGGTTCATGGTCCCTCGGTAGAATTTGATATTGTGTATTTCTGCACATTTTGCAAAATCTGGTTAAGTTTCCCTAGATCAAAATATAATTCAGTAAGAGACGCCTTCAAAATACTAAAATATTTAAAAAAAAAGGCGAATTGATTTGTTAAAATCATTCTGAAGTTAAAACATGAGAGAGATAGATATTATATTTTATAAGTGGTGCTCTTAATAATAGCAGTGTTAAGATCTAACAAGGTTAGCCGATTGTTCCTTGGCCTAATAAATTGTTATGAAATAGCTTGTATTTTAACTTCTAATAATTTGGATGACTTCGAAGCAATCCAGTAATTTTCATACAGTTGCGATCGCGATTGCCTTCAGGAAAATAAATTGCAAAACTATAAAAATTTTGAATTCTGCTTCTCAATACTGGATCTATAACATATAATTCGGGGACTTAATGCACTCAAAAACGAAAATCGCTGAGTATAAAATTTTTTACGAAGCTTGTTTGGCACACTAAACACGTATCAGAGTTACTGTGGACAATCCTAGTCTTACTATCTAAACTTATTCATATTATGTAAACTCGACTGCCGTAGAATGCTGATTTCAGTTGTCAAAATTTCAAATTTTCGAGGACTTATAAATCTATAGACAACTAGCAAGTACAGAAAGCATAAGAGACCCATTTTATCATCTCCAAATAAAAAAAGTAATCCGCAAAGGTCAAAAATTTATTWATTTACAAGTTTGGTGTAAACTATTAAAACTACAATTGAGTGCAGCATTTTACACTAATCCGCAGTTATGTGCTGAAATGCAAGCATTTGTTACATAATACGAAAGCCAAAAGTAACCAGACCGGAATGCCAACCCATCGGAATAATGTCAGCAATGCCAAATTGAGAAAGTCCACCGGCATTTGTGCACATCAAATGACTGGCTACATACATACACACACGAACAGACATGCATATGCACGTTCGCACAAAAATATTCAGCGTAAAAGTGGACAAACCAATTTGGGACAAATGCAACTGAAATGAAAGTGGATATGCGGTTGTTAAATAACGGCAGCTAACATTATAAATATTGATTGTACATACATATGTACATATGTATATGTATGTATATATGTACGTGAGTATACCTTTATGCATGAAAATGTGTTGCAAATTGAAGAGGAAATATGTATATTAGTTGGGTGTGGAGAGAAACTTCGAATATAGAAAATTTAAAAAAAAAATTTATAGAAA